TTTTTAATTAGTAAGGGTAAAAATGTATTTTTTGGGTGCGGTATAATCGATTTTGGGTGCGGTAAATAACAACACCCTAACACTCTTCTGATTGAAAAATGAACTGCAAAACAAACTCAAACCCAATAACAAAAAGCTGCAAAAATGCCCTAAAAATGGAGTAAACCATTTTCCCAGAATTGCCTTGTTTCTGGCGCCCAATTATTATTATCTAGTTATTATATAGTATTAGCAAATTATAATGAAGTTTTCAATTGTAGAAGATTTGAATCAGTTTCAGTAGCAAAAGATAAGTCTATATTCCATATAGTATTTATCCCATGGAACATCTCAGTCCAGCACTTAAGCTTTACATAGCAACAAAGTACATCTATATACAGTGTTGATGATTACCACATATCTCCATCTCCCTGCCATGCTTGCGAGAACACAAATACTTGTGTGTGTTACCCATTGATTTTTTTTTTCCCAACCCTTGCCCTCTTCTTTGTTCTTCAACATTGTTGGTTGATCATATTTTATTGTAAGACGAACATTAACCCACATTTTAGAAAGCTTCCTTCTTTACGTATCAACCAATCCCAGCCGGTGCAACCACGACAACACTGCCGCAAGTGCCACCACCGCAAGCGCATGAAGCAGCCAAATCGAGCTCGCCATTCTAACGAACAACTCGTGAAAAATAGACAATGATTTCCAAAAATCGAGCATCTTCTTCTCCTTCCTGCCCAGATGTCTAAAAATCGAGCACTCCATTATCGGGTGAACAAGCTCTTCATACTTCCTCTCACAAAATCTAGAGAACCCGCATTTCGTGTTCATGCTCGGAATCTCTATGGGACTGATCGTGACGTGTTCGATTAATTGCCTCATATAACCATTTTGTTCAACAACATCACAATTATCATTGCAAATCAGTTCATCATTGCATAAGTCGAAATCAATCTTGTCAAAATCGTGAAACATTCCCTGACAAACATATGATAAAAATGCATACGGATAGTGACCCATTTTCAAATAATCAACCTCAGAATAATCAGAGTTTGCAGCTTTCTCCAAATCCCAGCCAGCCCCCTGCATCAGGTTCATCAATAGCTTCACAAAACACCGCACTGATTTCACCAAATCAGCAAGCATGTCCTCAAACACTCGAATCGTGAGCAGAACATCAATAAAGACATTTCTCATTTTCACCCCTAATTTCGAGATAAATCGACATTGCATACCTAATTTTATCAAATTTCTTCCTCAAGCCACTCGCCTCGTCGTCCTTGGCGTCCATTTGCGACTGCAACGAGTTCACCATCATCTCCAGAACCCTATGCTTGTTATGATTCTCCTGCACCCGAAATTCCAGAAAGGACACTGCCGGAAAATCGAAATCACCTCCCGAGACAAATCCCTTCTTCGAGTCCTTGTACAAGCTCTTCATCTTAGCCAATTTCTCGAGAATCGAGACTATCGACTTGTCCTCTGCTTCGAGGGCATTCTGGTCAATCTCCGGCACGTGCGCCGCCTGGAACTGGAGATACGAAGCTTCAAAGGATGTGACGGTGGCGAGGAGCGAAGGAATGAGAGCACAAATCAACTTGCCAGACGAATCGCCTTTTCTTTGCACCGGGTCTAGTTTGAACGACGAGCTTCTGGTCGGGATGAACTTCTCGTGCAGAGAGAGAGAGAGAGAGAGAGTTTCAATTTTTTTTATGATTTTAAGGTAAAAAAATGAATAATAATGATATTAGTATATATATGGGGAGTGAATTGGAAAGAGAAATTAAGAATAGGGAGTGCAGGGGATGTTTAATTATGGTGGGGACTGACAAAGAAACTATTTAGTGCATTAGGGATTTTAGAGGAATTTTCCGTTCTTTTAACATATTAAAAATATTAAATTTCTTTTTAACTCTATATATATGTATTTGGTCATATTATTCAAGATCCTTATCTTTTTCATCCTTTTGAGTTAAATATTTTATTATTTCTATCACTTTTTTTTTTATATTTTAGATGAATATTTATTTATTCTTCTTTTCAAACAAAACTCAATAAAATTGTATTTTACTAACTTTATATAAATAGTATATAAAATTAATCTTATCTTCAGTCATTTTTGTTTGGCACCAGCATTTCGTATAAAATTTAAAATGATTACCTCTTAAATATAAATCTATACTTATATAATAAACCATCTTATTTACTAAAATTAGTAAGTAGAGAAGTCAAAGGACAATTAATGCATTCTATTTCCATCAATATTTTTATTTAATTACTTTTTTTTCGAAACGATAAAGATAATATATAACTCAAAACGAACCAAGTTCGAATA